CTAACCAATGTTCAGCTAGATCCATAGCTTCTTGAGCATTTTCTAATGCATTCTTTGGATCACGATCATTCCAATCCGGATAAAGTCCTAATTAAAAAAAAAACAAAACAACCGGAAAAGATGTATTTTTTCTTTTAAGATAGTGAAAATATTTTTTTTTTTAATACCTGGTGCACATGCATCAACGAGTGCACCAATAGCACGACCATCATTCCAATCAGATGTAAAATTTGTAATTGGTAATTCTGGTGGTAATTTTTCTTGAATCCAATTCATAAGTTTTTGTTTTGGCGTAGCATCTTTTCCTGAACCAGGTGCATCGGGTTGTTCGAATTCCCACATAGGTAATGAAATTGAATAATGTAAAATTAATGTCCATATTAAACCAAGAATTAGTTTTAATTTACCGTCAACAATATGTGTAGCATCTAAATTTTTTTAAAATATTTATATACTTTGTGAAAGTTAAACAAATATGAATAAATCATTTTTGAATAGAACAATTTTTCTCTAGTTCTTATTTTGACAATAGAAATCGAATTTATGAGAACAATCTATATTCAAATGATTAAAATACTGTTTCCGTTTTTTCTTTTTGAGATATATTATTGAATTGTAAACTTTATTCTATGACATTTATGGTATATATTAATGTGTTGAATAGATTTAGTTGACGTATCTTTAAGCATTTATTGAGCCCGAAACAAAAAGAAATCGATATCAAGGTACACTTCGACGTTTAGTTCATGGACATTGAGGCCTTGAGGATACGTCAATCTAATCTTAAAGAATCATTCATATCTATAGCAAATATTAGGGAATATAACTCGATATTTGAAACAAAAAAAAACCTATAATATGAAATTTGATAAATTAATTGTTATGTACAGTTTTATTTCAGTGATGTTCAATTGAAAACTAATTTTCGTTTAATTTTCTATCTGCTAATAAATCTTCTCAATTCATCCTCAATTAAACAAGCAAAAGAAAAAAAAAATCTTTATTCTTTCCAGCTCATTGCTTCATCGATTCTCAATACATAACAGTTGTATCGTTTCTTTCTTTTTTTTTCGATTTTACTTCTTCAATGAAATATGAAACCTTTTGTTTTCTTACATATTCGATAACGAATTAGACAATATTGATAAAGAATGATTAACTGAGTAAAAAATTCTTATTTAATATCATAAGATAGAAACATAACGAAATATTTTTAAAAAAAAACCGACGAAAATCTTAACGCACTTGTCTTAAGTACATTTCTATGCTCTCAAGAAATCTCTTCACTACACTCTCACATACATTTATATATGTGTATATGTATCTAATAGGTAAAATAAACTTACTTACCAATATTAACAAGACGTATACGTTCAGTATTTTCAAGAAAGTCTAATACAACAGATACATTTTCTAATTTTTGTGAACGAAAATTGGGTCGTTTATTATGACGTGGAACTTTTTTTTGTGATAAAACTTCAATTAAAGCAATTAAATTTAAACCATCACTTAATTCTGATTGTAAATCTTCAATATGGCGATTAACTAATTTTAAATGTTCATTAGCCCAACGTGTAAATGTATTTTGTTGTATTCTTTTCCATGGTGCATCATCAGCTAATTCTCGCTGCATATCTTCATAAAATTCTTTAAAAAAGAAAATTATTCAAGAGTAAAAAGAAAACATAGAGCTTAAGATAAGATGAAGAAGTTTTCTTTTCTTTTTTTTATTGTATTCTCATATCTTTATTTACCTTCTTCGGTACGTCCAAATTCGTCTTCGTCTAAATGTTCACTTTGTTCGTTGTGTTGAAGATTTTCAGTGTAGCCAGGTCCGCCTCCTCCTCCTCCACCTGAATAGCCGTTTGCTGACTGGTTGTACATAGTTGACATTTTTTTCCTTTTTCTTTCTGTTCAAAAGTTATTTTTTTTTCCTTTCTTATTCTTCTTCTTTAACGACGACCTGTAGTAGTAGTAGTTTAGATGGTTATACGTTTTCGAATCGTAGATATATATGATTCACCTAGTAGATGAGAAAGAAAAAAAGCAGAACACATGAAATTTTTTTTTTGAAAAAATTAGTTTCGGTATGTCTCTCATTCGTATATAAATATATATGTATGTATGTGCCTATGTGAGTATAAAAGGAAAGAACAGAATAAAATCTCCAACGCCAACCTCTATTCATGAAACAGTTAACATACACAAAAGGGAGAAGAAATAAAAAAAGAAAAGAGAGGCACCTGTATTAAATGTGTGCACGCGATGAAATATTTTGATAAAAAACAAAATAGAATGACTTAAAACACAGACAAAAACATTCATTTATTTAAGAGAAAAATGCCACTATGATTTTTATATCACTGACATTATTTATTAAAAGATGATCAATGAAAAAAAAAAAATTCATTCTATCTCTTTACTTTTATATCATTATTGAACAAAGACAAATTTCTTTCTATTCTATGAGAATAACTATAGTAACACAATCAAAGAAATCAATTTAATAGAAACCACCTCCGAGAAAAAATTTAAGCCTCGTTGTTAATAGATACATTAGATAGTAATTGACTCGAGAAAAACTAGATTAAACTATAACAGACATACATACTGATGATTAAATGTTAACTACCCTATAGAGAAGAATAAAATGTAGTTATTTATACGATTAAATTTGTGTGCAATGCATCTGAAAATAACTTCTATATATATATACATAATCAATTCAATGAACGACCAAGCATCTAAATTATTCTTACACTCATAAGGTTTATTAGTAATAGAATAAAAGAACGAATCAATTCATTTTCTTCCTTCTGTTTTGCATTAAAATACTTATTCACACTCCGTTTTTTTTTTTGTTGTTGTTTCTTAATCACAAAGGTGACTTTAAAAAGGAGGCGAAATATGTGGGCGAACTTAGTCATCCTCAGTCTGTCATGATTATTGTTTTATATAAGACGAACAACAACTTAATTGAACCATTTATTTATTCGATCTACCCTTTTCCTGCTAGGACAACTTATGAATAACATACGCAAGTGTGTAGGTTTTCTTTCTATATAATCTATCTATCTATCTATCTATATATATGTAAATATATATAATGAGCGGCATTTCATCGCCCGATAGCATATCGATGATCTTCTCCTTTTCTTTCTCTTGACTTTAGACATGGCATTGTGCTGACCACTCGATGAGTGGTATCAGTAATAATCTTTCATATGTCGACAAAGAAAGGAAACAAAACAAAGGACAAAAGGCGAACATCGAAAAGTTCAATGAAGCACTATTCTCACCATGAAAAGATAGTCTTCTAATGGCAATATACATATAACAAAACTAACATTTATCAATTGATAATTGATCTAATACAGATGCATAATGATTTGATATACATAAAACCTCTTTTTTGGGGGGGTTTTTGCTTTTGCAATTAGCAAAGATTACATTATCTGTCTTTCTTTCTATCTTCTACTTTTGAACTATACTACTGTCAAGTGTATGCTAGTATGACAAAGATTATTCCACTTCAAATTGAAGTATACTTTTTTAACCTTTTCGTCTAAAAAGAAAGAGAGGGATAGAGAATTTATAATATTCATATGCTTATACTTACAACACAAGACTGTCTTTGTATTGTAGTTGTTCGTGTCTTTTTCTTTCTTCGAGAATTTTTCAGCTGAGTCAATGCTCTGCTAGTAACGCTTAATAAGAAAATAAAAGAGTGGATTAATACACGCGGGGTTATACGAACTTCTATGTAGGCATATATGTACAAGACATACGTAATGTCTCGAATACGGAAATATCTTTTGCGTAGGCAGAATATGTGTCAAAAGTAGAGGACAAGCTTTAGGGAACAAAAAGTAACAGAAGTTTTTTTTCTTCTTTCTTTGTATGAATAAAACTACTACAAGAAAAAAAAAGAAACACCATCGTATATGGATGTATCTGTGTTCCTTACACGATATTATTAGAACGAACCAAAAATTCTTTTTCTCTCTATTAACGATCACTCATCAACCGCTAGGAAAAACACTGAGAGAGGCGACCTGCAATGAACAGAATAACCGTAAAGGAAGAAAACGGCATGTATGTGAATAGTTTAGACAAAGAAAACAACAATAACATGGGCAGATAAAATATCAGTAGTCTGTAGTCATAGTAAGAAATTCTTTTTCTTCTCGTGTATATGCATTTATAATCAAACATATGAAGTATAGAGAAAGAAGAGAAGAGAAGATACCGCATTTCTTCGCTGTATACATATATATATATATATTGTCTTCCTTACTGTACACCATGCATCTCTCATCCTTCCTCCCACTACAAGCCACCAGTACAACTACCAGTTATAGCATAGTAAGAGAGCATGATTATCACATTGATTCTAATATACAAAGAGAAGAAGAAGAAGAACTATGGGTAAAACTGATGGTAGCATCATTAGACTTCTTTCGCAATGTCGTATCTTTTAACACATACATGGGATTGTTGTAATACGAAATTGAAAACTTTGTACATATTAATAATGGTAAATTTATATTTCACGAACAGGTGTATGAGACAAATAAAACAGACATCTGACTCTTATCTGATTAGCCTGTTCTATATTTATTCGGATCGATTTGTTTTTTCTTCTTGTCTTTATATTTACCGGACAACATATGTATAATTATAATTACATACATTGAAAACAAGAAAGAAAATTTAGAAAGTATTAGATGCTATATGATAAATATCATTATTATTCTTATATTTCTCTATAATATTCGCATAACTTAATTAATATAGAAAACAGATAAACGACCAAGTATCTATAGGTCATGTTTTTTTCATAATTGACAGATACTATTTACATTTTTTTGTTATCATCTCACTAATTATAGAGAAAAGTTTCTATAAAAGTATATCAAAACAAAAATAGATATAATAATTGATATTGTTTTATTGTCATATACAAGAAAGAGCAAAAAAAGTAAGTCCAGAAAAATAAACTAATCATCGTCTTCACTTGAAGACACCAACTGACGACGTGCTTTTTTTATTGGTCGTGATGAAGATATATCATCATCATCATCATCATCATCATCATCATTATCATTATCATTGAACATTGATGAAGATTCATATTTACGACTTTGTTTTGTTAGAATTGGTAATGATTCTTCTTCTTCTTCTTCTTTATCTTCTTGTGCAGTGTTTTTAGAAGGAATTTCTGTTGATATAATATTATCAGATTTTGAATTTGAATCATTTGATTGATCTTGTTCATGTTCAGATGAAATTAATTTATTTTCAATAGAACGATTATTATCAGCATTGTCATCGTTTTCATCATCATCGTCTATATCTGAAACATCTGAATCCGAACCAAGTTTTGAATCACCAAGAAAATCTTTTTTTTTTGATCGACGATTTGTTCCTTTTTTACTAATAAAAGAAAATAACAACATTATAAATACAAATAATACCAAAAAAAAAATAAAATATTGATCATACAGTTTAAGTTCTTTAATACTTTTAATTAGGCCTTGATTTTTTAATTCTTTTATTATTTGACGTCTTGTTTTTGTTTTTTCGGTTAATTCCAACATAATTCGATCAACAATATCAGTTTGTTCAAGTCCTATAGTTTATCAAATAAGTAAAATACACAAAAAAAAAAGTATTTCTATCTACAAACCAATATTTTCTGCTTGTTCTTCTTTAATTTTTCTAAAAAGATCTCGTAATTCAATTTGATGTTCAATTGACCATGATCCTGCTTTAGTTTTTCTAAATAAAAAAAAATAAATTAATATTTAAAAACAAAGGAGAACAAAAATTTTTACTTTTCTCCTTCATTCGTATGAGTAATTTGACGATATCCATCAAGCATATCTTCAACAAGACTTCGATCTTTCCAAAAAAGTAATTCAGCATATATATATGGATTCTTTTGTGTAGATACAAAAAATTTACGTAATAACCAAGTACCAAATTGTAATAATTCCTATAGAATAAAAGATTGAGATAAAAAAATTCTTTGACATGAAATTAAATTTACAGAAAATTGTTGTAATTTTGCTAATGGATCAAGATGAAATTTTTGAAAGATACGAAATAATGACATTTGAAAAAGTATACCAGGATAATTACAATCAACTGATACACGATAAAACATACGAATTATACAATGATTTAAATATGGTGTATTGCTTGTATATGTACGAAGAACATCAATATATGACGAAAGTATACTTGAATGTGCGAAACTAAAATATAAAGATTTGATCATTTTTCAATTTATTATCCATTATGATGATAATCTAAGTCATATATAATCTACTTTCACAAACTATCATATTTATATAAACATAAACAAATTATATAACAATCATCAAGGCTATGGTTACTATTTATTTTAGATCATATTACAATTTTTTTGTCGATGGATGTGAATGTAATGTTGATAGAGGCTTATTTTTTTTTAATATTTATGCTGAATTATATCAATCCTATGACTATTCTGATAGTTAGTAATAATCTTTTAGAAAGCATAGACTTTTATTGTTTAATTTTCACTTACCGAATTATAAATCTTTTAAAGTCGAATTCTTCTTCACGTTCAGTAGTATGTATTGATTCTTGTTCATCTAGAAAATATACAGAATGTGTAAGATTTTAGTTTCAAAGTAGTATTGCTGAAAATTTCAAAAAGCATAGAGAATAAATTTGAAAGTAAATGAAAACTTATGAATATGGGATTTATCAGTATAATCGGTAATGTATTGCTAAAAATATAACTTTATTAGAAAAGTTTTTCGTCTATCAGACATTGTAGGAATAGTCAAAATGTCATAGCTCTACATATGCTTAAGGTTTTTCAGTATTTTGTTCTGAGTATTGTTATTTTTGGATTGAATTAAATAAACTTTGATAACCAAAATAATCAACAAACAAACTGCTATAAGGTATAATAGATGAAAAAAAACATTACTGATAACTTAATGTATTGGTAATTGATTACTACTGAAAGTACCAAATCTACTGTTATTCTTTCCTTTCTCGAGAACAGACGCACGGCCTTTTTGCTTACATTCTTATCTTGACAGCATCCTTCTCCTCTTACTTGAATGAGAAGGGGAATCAACAGTTATTATCGGTGTCAAAAGAAACATACGTCGTTAAATTTGCAGCCAAATAACTCATCTATTACAGCTATGACATATAATAATTAACACAGAACCAATGGTAATATCCTAACAACAGAAATATACAATTTAAAAGATGTAATCACATACACTCAGAATCTAAATGCTCTGTCTGAGTCATCTACAACTCAAAAATCTAAAAAAATTTAGATTTTAGTGGAAATAGCAGCAAACATACATAAAACAACAAGATGCATTATCGACTGGACAACGAAAGATTACTGGTTGAACGATCTTATCAATGGCTCTAAAGTTCGTAAATTTAGCGAACAATCAATCACAATCATAATTAGAAGAGCAATAACGTCGTCTTATATTTGAATACTTGACATGTGCTATTTCAAACCGTATGTCATGTTTCTTATTTGATTATAACCCAGCGGTTTACTTGAAGAACTGACTATCGGCTACATCACCAACTAATACAACCGAAGATTATTTTCAAAAAACAATGTATCTCGGTCAATGGCGTAATAAATTAAAATGAGAAGTAAATAATCAATAGTGATTCCAACAATTTAAATATATCAAGACCACTGTGATGAGACTGAAATTTATGTCCGATTCTTTTGCTTTTACTGTTTGTTACGTACTCCTTGCAACGAAGAACAAATGAATTTTGATTTACTGCTAAAGACATTCCTGAATATAACACATTATTAAAATTAAGTTGCTAGTATTTCAGTTATATAAAACGGTCGAATACATGAATGTTCAAGCACATATCTTTGTGCTCAACGTGATAGTTTTCTAATTTAAGAGCACATGTTAAATCCTTTTCCTTGGTAAAACATCTAATTCTAAAATAATAGCAATGAAACAATTTCATCAATGAAAATTCTAGGCCAACTATCCAAAACTAGTGGATGAAATTCTAGTAGAATGATTCACGGGAGTTACTTTAGAAAATATTTCTTTAACAGATGTATAACACAATAATTGTCGATGTTAATGGATTCTTTGAAACAATTAGAATGATTACTATTTGCTGCCTAGCGAGTCAAGCCAAAAGTTTAAAAGAATTACAACCATAGATCACTGAAAATAAAATTATCACTAGTGATTTCAATGTATTCATCAACAAATGAGGTTGTACACTATCAGATAAAACAGGTAGAAGCTTGAAAGAATAGATAGCAAAAACACTAATCTTTGTTACACTCTAACGTCATCACATTCTTCAAAACGTTTGAATAGAAACATCAATTTAACGTTTATACATGTAGGATTGAACAAAAAAATAGATTCTGAAAGTTGGCATTAGTGATCACTAGCCAGTAATGAATACTTGTTAGGATATTATGTTAGATAACAATAAAATATTGCCCCATGTACATTGAAAAGTGTATAAAGTTATTCACACATTGTTACACGAGTTTCGGGTAAAGAAACAGAATAGAAGAATGCATGCTGATGGATTGTATGTGAATGACGTGTCCTTTCTTGATGTCTTGAAAATTAGACTTACATAATAAAGAGAAAAAGAAGAATACTGATCCACACTGCCTCTTTCTTTTATTCGGAAGCTGAGGAAAGTGAAAAAAGTCAGAAACAAAAATAATCAAAAGAAAAAAAACAAAATAATTTCAAAAAGTAAATCGAATAAATAGTAGGAGTGCTTGTCTAAAACTCAAATGGAAACTGAATATCTCAAATATTGAAGTCGAAAAAGTCGACTAGTTTCGATATTGTGTTCAATTTTATAATTAAACGACTTTCACTGAAACTGCTTCAATATCTAACTAAGCAAATGGAGATACTCTAACAATTGGAAATCAGCTAAAATAATTACATGGAGAAAATTACAATCTAACGCATCTCTTTATACTCAGACATGACCGATTTCATTTTTAACTATGTATCAAAACTCTTTGAAAAAATTATTATGGAGAAAAAAATGAAACACTGAACAGTTCGGTTTTCGTTCAGGCTGGCTACTTTCAATTAGAATACTATCTATCTATCAAGAAGTAAAAAAAAAACAACTAGGATAGCTAATATTCCAATATTAATGGTTTATTTTTACTACGATAATACATACAATAAGATTTGACATCAAGATCTTGTTGGTAATCTATTTAGAATTGGCATTGGCATATCTCTAGACTATTCAAACAAATTATTTGAAGAATAAGTGGTCATCATGCTTATATTATCATGAAAGACAATAAAATCTACATTATTTCACAACTATGTTGATTTTACCACAGAACACTAGTTTAAACCCATATTTGCTCATTGTTTTTCGCTGTAAGCTTATTGTCTGTGTCAGTGCTTATTCCAGTAACATATCTGCTGACCACAACAGTAGTGCAGAACTTTCGTTCACAAGTACAAAAGCTAGTAATTGATATGTATGCGAAGGATCAAAAACTAAATATATTTAAACAATATAACTATTTTTAGATTTTACTTGAACGAATAAAATTCTCTCAAAATATATCTTGCGAGAAAACTCTTTTTCCTTAGAATTTTTCTTATTTTGTGTAAATATTCTCATTATATTCCTCTCTATCCAAAAATCTACAAAGAAATAGTCTTGATAAAATTGCAAAACATATTGAGACTGATTTATTGCTGCCATTTCTGCTTGCACAGTAGATGTCCCTCAAATAATAAGTGAGGTATCATTAGAAGAGCAAATAGAACGAACTGACATATAACTCTTGGATATCTCGCTTTTTTTTCTACAACAATCTATTTTATTTGAATAAAAACGATCACTTTTAACATTGGTTGCCTTCGAATGTAACAAATGAAACATATGCCGACAAAACATCAATCTTTGGCTTGCTCAATACCTTGAACTTTTATCTGTGTGAAATGCGTCACATTTTGTTTGTTACTCTTTCTGTCGCTTTCTTCTATTTTTTCTATTCTTTTCATCTTCACTTCATTTTTCCTTTTATTCAAATTTTTCTCTTGAACGTGACATCGTATGAATCTATTCGTTCTTGTGATATAAAATATTATCATTTTCTGGTTATGTAAATCATATAGCTATGAATGCTTACTGTAATTTCTGTAAGCAAAGTAAAAAAAAAAAACTAAAAAATTGTTTTTTGGATTTGGAAAGCTTTTCTAACTTCGTCATATATAATCATTCTAAAAAATACCAGTTGTAGTCAGATATTCTATTTTTTTTTTGGATAAGTTTTCATTGAATATAAAATTTATTCATTAGATTATTTGAAATCGAAGCGGTATTTCTCTCAGAAAAACAAAAGATATTTACGCATCTATTACTGTGTATCACAACATAGAACTTTGTGCATGTAGAGAACTTAACTAGACTAATTTCCAGAAAAAAATTTAAAAGTTATGAACAGAGTCTCGTCGAGATATGAGACTTTCAAAATGTAGACCCTTTTTCATGAATCATGTACATAACATACATTTTTTGAAAACTTCATATTTGGAACAGACTTTGTTTAAAACTGCTAAATTCTTTTGTGGAAGTTAGTGTAATTAGTTTTTCTATATGCACAACGTTTCAAATTAAAATTCAATAGCCTAGTCAAATTTCAATAAGAATTCAAATCCTTTTAGGATTTTTACTAGAGTACTACATACGATTCGCAGACAAATATTCTTAAAATAGAAAAGGAGCATTTGAAGAGGTCTGCTTGTAATCAGTTATGTTTTAAGTCTTCTGATTGATTTCATCGTTACTGAAGATCATGGATTAAATCCTACTTTAATCTTCATTTCCAAATAGATTATCTACTTTAGATGTTGTGAACAAAGAACACATCGGTTTTAGTTGTACAGATAATTGAAAAAAGATTTCGAGATATATTCATTTCATACCTTCATCATGTCCTTCTTCATGTTCTTCTTCATTATTTTCATCATCTTCATCAGTATTTTTTGGTAACAGATCTAAATCAGCATTTAAAAAACGAATATATATGAAATGAAATGGAAAATATTTCATCATTACTATCCATTTTTGATGTCATATAAATTTCTCGAAGTAAATTAAATTCTTCTTCAGCTCCAATATCTTCATAACCAAATGTTTTCTCTGTTGGCCAAACTTCTCTAGAAAAATGAAAAACGAACACTTCATTCTTTAATTTAATTAAACAATTCTACCGAGAAGCACGAAATAATGCAATTGCTTCATCTAATTTATTTGTTCGTAATGCATGTTGAATTCGTGCAACAGCCGTTATACTAAATGTTTAAAAATTAAAAAATCTACACAAAAGATAATTTTCAAACCTTTGATCATCAATAGGAACTTCAGAAAGTGCATCAAATGGACATACATCTGATTTATTAACAGTAACTTCTTCTAAACCTTGTAATAAAGATGATAATCGTTCAGATATTTGGTTTTGCCATTCTTCTTCTAATTGTTCATTCGGTGGTTCATCTGTTTCTCAAAAAGAAAAAAAATGTTTTTATATTCCATTTTATTTTGATAATTCATTTACCATCATTTTCATTCTTTTTCTTCTTTGTATTTTTCTTTGTTGTTGATTTACGAGCAGTACGACGACGTTGAACAAAAACATGTTTTAATTTTGATGTATGTTCTTCAAGCATTTTAAGAAATTCATGAGTACTTTCAATAAGATCATGAAGATAAACACTATTAAATAAACTCAAATAGTCTAAAAAAGAAAGAAAACAGATTTTTCTCCTACTTAGTCATTTTTGTATTATCATAATCTTTAAGTAAAACATGAATTTGTTCACGATATTCTTGCATATAGAAAATATTATCTATGAAAAACGGAACGAGCAGAAAGAATAAAAAATGATTTTTATATTAGTAGAAATATTTCATTACTTTTGATAATTATTGCAGCACGAACAATAAGTTCATTAGGATTTGTTAACATTGATTTAACACAAAGAATATATTCTTTAAAAGCACCAAAGCCAATTTGTAATCTTAATTAGAAAAAGAAGGTTTTGTTTTAAAAAGAAAGAAAACCGAAAATTTTCTACCGTTTTGCCCAAAGTTTTGCTTCAGGTTTATCGATTTTAATCATTTCTCTATAATAATCAATTTTTGTATGAAGTAAATGAAATGTATTCATTTGTAATGTTTCACTATATAAAAGATATTTATTTTCGTTTATGAAATATTATAAAACTAAACCTTATACGATCAATTGATGTATGTGCATGTCGATTAAATTCTGTAAAAAATCTTATTGCCCAAAAAAAATTTGTTTCATCACTAAGTAAACATGTTGATTTAATAATCATGTCCTAAGATTAAAAAATTTATCAAAAAATTATATATATACAATGATTTTCAAAATTATCCGATCAGACTTTTTCTCAACACTTAAAAAAATCTAAATAGTGATTTGTGTAGAGCATTTCCATTTTGAACAAGAATTTTCAAAGATAAAACTCATTACTAATTGTACAAAGGAATCGTCATTTAAAAAGGCAAAATCTAAGTTTTTCATTTTGCAGCAATTATGTTTAAATTATCCAAAATGATAGAGCAACTAATTTTCTACAAAACTGAATGCTTTCCAATTTTTCACGACGTTTTTCGACTGAGGTACATCAATCTTACTGAAGACACAAAAATCATGTTCTGATACGAAATAGCAGGAAAAAAAAATTGTGCCTTCCGTAAGGTTGATGTATCGCGGCCAAAAAGCGTCGTACAGATCTAGAAGACATTTCATTTTGAAAAAAGTTGTTCGCTCTATCATTCTAAATAATTTAAACAAAATCGTCAGAGAAAAAAAAATTTGGATTTCAACTGCCTATAAATCTGATCCTTGGAAAACTAGTAATGATTGTTATCTTCAAAATTTCTCTGATCGAAAAATGCGATTTGTATATGGTCCTTTACAGTGAAATACGACGGGTTAACGCGATCGTATTTCTCCGTAACTATAGAGTAAGTAATACTGTCGTAAGTATGATGGAATACAACATCAAAAATGGTTGTTGATAGTAACATTGCAATAAATTATGATGAGTCGTACTGATTGACTTGGGTGCTTGTTGGAAATAGAACTTTCTATATAAATCACTATTTGGATTCTAAGTAATGTTGACAACAAAAGTCGAAAATAAATTTTGACGAATAATTTTAGGAAGCAAGTATGTATACATATGAGAATTAGAAATAAAAAGTACCCTTGCACGAGGCATAAGTATATTGTAACAATTATCTAAAAATGCTAAACAAAATTCTCGAAGATATAATCGAATGCCTAATGCTGAATGATGATGTTGAGAATCATCTAAATCATTTTTAACAGGTGCACGATTTTTTGGTCGACGAAAACGACGTTTTTCTCGATCAAATTCCATTGTATTAAGACTTTGTAATGGCCGATGACAAATAAGTTGATTTTCTCCAATACCTTTTGCATTACACATAACATATGTAGCAGCACCAAATGCTGATCGACTATTATTAGAATATGAAGAACTAAATAACTATTATAAGAATATGTTTTTTAGTTCTTACCGTGCAGTTAATTTGTTTAATTGTTGTTTTTCAGCTACTTCACGTTCATAAAGTAAATCGAGTGCTCTAAAAAGAAAAATAATTTTCATAATTTCAATCAATACATAATTCGATTATTATTTCGATGATAAAGAAATCATAGTTAAAAACAACGAGAATACGTTACAAGAAATTCATGCTAGTCAATAATGATAATATTCTATTTTTATTGATAGTAATTTCAAGTAGTGTATATCAATACTAGTCTAATTGATCAATTGATACAAGGACCATAATCGCTATCTATTAATCTACAATTTTCATATACTTATTAATGATAGGTCTTAATAAAAGTTTTAAAGTTCTAAGGAATTCGAGCTCAATTTTTTTGTTCTAACTTGTAAGAGTTTGACTGATAAGGAAAGCTCTATAGAAAATCTCTTCTTTCAATTTTAATGATTTTTTGCCTTGGATATTGCAGAGTGTTCTATGGAAAAAATCCTGAAATCATTCAGATTCCTATCAAGATTTGATAGAGGTATTGAATTTTGAACACGTCTATTGTTTGGAGACCCCCATCGGACTCCAGGGTTTCAGAAAAACTATATTTTGGAATTTCGCTCTAAAACTTTCTTTACTTAATGTACTAAGTTTAAAAATTCTGTAAGTCTTTATACAATGTGAAGTATTTTGTGATTTCTAGGTGGAAGAAGTTTTCGAAGAAATTTTCAAAATATGATAAGCTCTGTCAAATCTTGATAGACACTTAAATCATCTTAGGACTTTAACTCTTGTATACTATTCACTAGTACTAGAGCTGAAAAAAAAGTAACGCGATGAATTCAAAACCTTTGAGTATTTTTAAAATTTTATTGAACTCTATTTTTCTGTATTCTGCTAATTTATCTATGGGACAAGATAAATTATTGCATCATTTTATTTTTCCACGAACTTATCTGCCTATTTGTAACAGTCGAAAAAGTGTTATAACTTACTCATTATTCTTCTCTCGTTGATTTTTTGTTTGTTGTTCACCTGTATAAGCTAATTCTTCTGCAGACTATATTAAACAAAAAAAAGGATCTTTAAATAGCTAAGGAAATTCTTTCTCTATACTTGTTCTCGTAACATTAAAACAATAATTTCAAGAATATTCATTATACGTTCATCACCTTGAGCTTTATTACCACAAAATAATATCAAATTTTCCATATTACTCTTATGAATTGACCTTTAAAGATTTAAATTAAAAATAAAATAATCAATTTAATACAATCATTTTCTTTCTTACCATAGAACAAGATCATGTGCATTAATATCACTTTCTTCTGAAATTTGTCGTTCAGATTTAATTGAAAGAATATTTCGTACAACTGTAAAAACTGCATGTAAAATGAAATCATCTTCATCTGATCGATCAAGCCAATTCTGAATAATAAACAACAAAAAAAAATAAAAACACTTATATAATTATTTATAAATTTGAAAGATTAAATCAACTAAACCGTATCAAGTACTGGTTGAACTTTATTAACAAGAAAATCAAAGAGTTTCTCATTTGCTAAATTCTTAAAAAAAAAACATATATATATTTAACAATTATATCAACAAATAAATTCTTATTATTATACAAACAGTTTTTGTTTTTTGTAAATGACCTTCAATTTTTAAATAAACATTTGTTAATGTTACATCTTTTGGTAGTTTTCCATCGAAACATACCAATGGAGGTTTTGTTAAGTTAACAAGTAATCTAAATAAATAATATTTCGAATATTGTCTCTTCACTGAAAAAGTCGATATTCAGTTAGATGTATTCAAATGGCAGGAAATTTTCAGTCATCTATCATGACGTTTTTGGCAGGTATTCAACAAACAAAGGTTAAAAATAGCATATTTGGTAATCTGAAATTTTCTGCAGACACTTATCCTATACTACCAACGACAAATTACTTATGATTACTTCCATGAGTACTCAACCGAAAAAAAACATAAGATTCTCAGATGATGTTTTTGTCTGTAGGACTATGTAGAGCTCGCTGTACTAATCATGTTGTTAAAAACATATTCAAAATTGCTGGATGAATTATGATGCTAAAGTCAAAACATGCAACAGCATCAACTACCGCTCAGCGATAGGCAACAATTGCCTAAGTTTATGAGTATTTTAATCACAGTACCATGATTTATTAAGTAAATTTGAATATTTTTTTTTCTCAAAATTATTAGAGCAACGAGGTCACAGACAAACAAATTTTCTGGGAATCTTGTTTTTTTTACGGGTGACAATTTCACATGCTCTTTCGAGAACTCTACTAAGATGACACCCCGTGAAAAAAAAGAAAAACATTTTCTGCTTTTTCCGACAATAATTCACTTTTTTTTAAAGAAGGCCTTTATTTTAATTACTTGAGAGCATGATGAATAATTTTTGTATCATGTTTACTATTCAAA